GAAAGACTGAGGAGAGAGAGAGAGTGAGAAACATCAATGTGAGAGAGACACATTGATTGGTCACCTCCTGCATGTGTCCTGACTGGGACAGGGATTAAACCTACAACCCTTCGGTGCACAGGGTGATACTCTAACCACTGAGCACACCAGCCAAGGTGCCAGTTGGTTCTTTTTTGCAGAAATCAACAATCTCATCCTAAATTCATATGCAAATGCAAGGGACTCAGAATCATAAAACAATTTTGAATAAGAACAAAGTTGGAGGACTCAAACTTCCTAATTTCAAAACTCTCTACAAAGTACAGTGTGGTGCTGGCATAAGGAAAGATATAAAGATCAATGGAAGAGAATTGAGAATGCAGAAATTGCCGAAACCGGTTTGGCTCAGTGGATAGAGCGTCGGCCTGCGGACTGAAGGGTCCCAGGTTCGATTCCGGTCAAGGGCATGTACCTGGGTTGCGGGCACATCCCCAGTAGGAGATGTGCAGGAGGCAGCTGATCGATGTTTCTCTCTCATCGATGTTTCTAACTCTCTATCTCTCTCCCTTCCTCTCTGTAAAAAAATCAATAAAATATATTTTTTTAAAAAAAGAAAGAAATAAACTCTCACATTTACAGTCAATTGATTTCTCAATGAGTGCCAAAACAAGGCACAGGGAAAGAATAGTCTTCAACAGTGAACAGATGGCTCTCCACATGTAAAAGAATGAAGTTGGATACCATATACTACTGGTATACAAAAATTAACTGACAATGGTTCCTAGATTTAAATATAAGAGATAAACTAGCCCTAGCTGGTTTGGCTCAGTGGATAGAGTGTCAGCCTGTGGACTGAAGGGTCCTAAGTTCGATTTTGGTCAAGGGCATATGCCTGGGTTGCAGCTTGATCCCCAGTAGGAGGCATGCAGGAGGCAGCCAATCAATGATTCTCTCTCATCACTGATGTTTCTATCTCTCTCTCCCTCTTCCTTCCTCTCTGAAATCAATAAAAATATTTTTTAAAAGAGATAAACTATACACTATTTACTCCTATGTTGTAGAAGAAAACATAGGAGTAAATCTTCATGACTTTGGTTAGGCAAATGGTTTCTTAGATACATCACCAAAGCATAAGTGATACCCCTTCCCTCCCCGCCCCCCACCAAAAAAAAAGGAAAAAAAGAAAAAGAGATAAATTGGACTTCATCAAAATTTAAAACTTTGTATATCAAAGGACACCTTCAAGAAAATGAAAAGATAACTCACAGAATGACAGAAAATATTTACAAATCATATACCTGACATCACATATCCAGAATATATAAAGAACTCTTACAACTCAACAATAAAAAGACACATAACCCAATTAAAAATGGGCAAATAGCCTGGCTGCTGTGGCTAAATGGTTGAGCATTGACCCATGAATCAGGAGGTCACTGGTTCAATTCCTGGTCAGGGCACATGCTCAGGTTTTAGACTGGATCCCCAGTAGAGGGCATGCAGGAGGCAGCCGATCGATGTTTCTCTCTCATCAATGTTTCTATTTCTCTATCCCTCTCCCTTCCTCTCTCTCTCTAAAATCAATAAGATATATATTTTTTAAAAGGGCAAATAAGCTGAATAGACATTTCTCCAAAGATATACAAATGGCTAACATACGCATGAAAAGATACTCAACATCATTAGACACCAAGGAAATGCAAATAAAAAACATAATAAGATAGGCTTCACACTCAGTAGATGGCAATAAAAAATCCAATCAAAAAATGGACAAAGGACCTAAATAGACATTTTTCGAAAGAGGACATACAGAAGGCCAAGAGACATATGAAAACATGCTCAAAGTTACTAATCATCCAAGAGATGCAAATCAAAACGACAATGAGGTACCATCTCACACCTGCCAGAATGGCTATCATCAACAAATCAACTAACGACAAGTGCTGGAGAGGATGTGGAGAAAAAGGAACCATCCTTCACTGCTGGTGGGAATGCAGACTCATACATTTTAGAAGCCTTCATCCATCAAGGTAGGCAAGGGGCATGCTGCTCTTCAGGGGCTGGCCCCTTGGACACTTGTGTCTACCTCTCTGGCCTCCGAGGTCCTCCATAACCTGTCCTCAGCCACCGATGCAGCCTTCTTTGTCTTTATAACAATTTTTGTCTTAAAGTCTATCTTGTCTGATAGCATAGTCACTCCAGGTCTCCTCTGGTTACTGCTTACATGGAATATCTTTTCCCATCCTTTTACTTTCAACCTATTTATGTCCTTGAATCTAAAATGTGTTTCTTGTTGCCCGGCCAGTATGGTTCAGTGGTTGAGCACTGACCTATGAACTAGACAGTGGTCGGCAAACTCATTAGTCAACAGAGCCAAATATCAACAGTACAACGATTGAAATTTCTTTTGAGAGCCAAATTTTTTAAACTTAAACTATATAGGTAGGTACATTGTTATTAACTTAATTAGGGTACTCCTAAGGCTTAGGAAGAGCCACACTCAAGGGGCCAAAGAGCTGCATGTGGCTCGTGAGCCGCAGTTTGCCGACCACGGAACTAGGAGGTCACGGTTCAATTCCCGGACAGGACACATGCCTGGGTTGTAGACTCCATCCTGAGTAGGGGGCCTGCAGGTGGCCTATCAATGATTCTCTCTCATCATTTATGTTTCTATCTCTCTCTCCCTCTCCCTTTTTCTCTGAAATAAATATAAAAATTAAAATATATAAAAAGATTGTTAAAATGTGTCTCTTGTAGACAGCATATAGGCAGAACTTTTTTTTAAGGTTAATTCTGCTAATCTCTGTTTTGTGTGTGTGTGTAGTAAAATATACATAACAATAATAAAGTAAACAATTCAATGGCATTTAGTACATTCACAAGGTTTGCGACCATCACCTCTATCTAGAACATTTTCATCACCCCCAAAGAAACCCTAGATCCATCAGCAGTCACTCCCATTGCCCCCACCCCCCAGCCTCTGGCAAGCACTATTCCACTTTCTATCTCTAAGTCCAGATGTTTTATATAAACAGAATCATGCAATATGTGGTCTCTGTGTCTGTCCACTGCCACTCAGCACGATGACTTACAGTTTATCCATACTGTCAATTTGCCTCTCTTGCCTGGCATCAGCCCACCTTGGCCAGACTGGGCTCTCTCCTCTCTGACAGACACCAGGCGTGTTCTCACAGGGCTCTGGGTGCCTGATTTTGTTGAGGCCCCAATCCACCTCCGTTTCCTGCTCAGTTCAAATCTCTGCATAATAATAGTGATCACTACTGGGCACCTAGAATATGTGGAGCTCTGTCCTAAGCATACTTCCCATGAATTATCTCATTTAGTTTTAATTCTTGCAACAATCCGGGGAGGAGGAAACCATCACCAAGTTCCCACCCTTTCCAGTTGGGAAGTGGCAGCATGTTCAGTGCCCCACATACCTATGCCTTTCACTGACCCACTCTGCCCAAGACTGGCAAGTCCCCACTTTCTAACACTGTGACACCGAGTGGGTTCCTTAACCTTTCTGTGCTTCCATTTCCTCATCTATAAATTCATGATAATAATAACACCTGCCTCCAGAGGTGCTGTGAAGATGAAAGGAGCTAACAAAGATAGGTGTCTGACTCCTATCCCCTGAGGCCAGGCCAGCCTTCTCTAGGGTGGCTTAGCTCACATCCTGACCCTAAAAGGAAAGACAGACTAAGAACAAATGCTTCCCCCTGGCACCTGAGGATGCCTGAGGACCCTAGCCTGCCTTCTAGCTCATGGTCCGTGACCCTCCTCTGGGGATCAGCCAATATGACTGTCTCTTTCTGCCCCCAGCGTGCCCTGTGCTGGCTCCTGCCACTTGCTTCTCTAGAAAGGGCCCCTTCCCATCTCTGTCACCTTTCCAGAACCATCTCAAGTGCGTTAAACCTGACTCCTTTCCCCCAAAGCTCTGTTCCCAGTTCTCTTTATGGCACGTGCCTCAGAGTGGCTTCTCCATGTGATGGATGTTCTCCATCCTGTATATCCATCCGGATGAAAGGAGCTAACAAAGATAGGTGTCTAGCTTACCTGGCAAACAGTAAGCCCTTCCTTTCTGTGCCCGCCATACCTGCCATGCTGTCTTACTCTCTGGCCGGGTGGTCTTGGCTTGTGGCCTTTCCTGACTCCTATCCCCTGAGACCATGTCCTCAGTGCCCAGGAGGTTGACCCACAGGCACTACTGTGCTCACTTGCAACCATCACTTCTATCAATGGGAAAGTGACAGGAGACAGGGCAGGGTACTTATTCCCCAAGATGCAAAGTCTTCTCCAGGACTATAGGCTTTGATGGATAACCATGTGCTGAATGGGGAGGCAGGAGAGCACATGATCCAAGGCAGGCCCTGGGTCAGAGGCCTCAGCGCCTTCCCTGCTCCGCTGTGACTTGCTGCAGTACATCAGCAAATTAATGAACATTTCTGAGTGTCAGTTTCTCACATATAAAGCAGGATAATACTTCTTCCCACTTTTCACAGGGCTAGTTCCTGTAGATTTTTATTTACTTGCTTTCTGTCTGTCACCCTTGCTAGAACATGAACTCCTATTCACCATGACTACCATGATGCCTCCCTCATGGGAGGTCCTCAATTATTTTTTATTAAGATTCATATAACATAAAATAAACTACATTAAAGAGAATAATTCAGTAGCATTTTGTGCATTCACAGTGCAGCATCTAGTGCCAGACCATATACATCACCCCAAAAGGAGATCCTGTAACGAATAAGCAGTCACTCCTCATTCCCCTCTCTGTACAGCCGTGGCAACCACCAATCTGCTTTCTGTCGCTATGCGTGTGCCTATTCTGGACATTTCATACAATTGGAATCACATAATATGTGATCTTTGTGTCTGGCTTCTTTTCTCAGTACTTGACGATGAATGCAAGCTTGAAACTTTGGTTCTGCCTCACTCCCAAATGGGGAGGACCTATCACAAGAGGACACAGGGAAAAGGAGGTGTGATGCCTAGGAGGAGCCCAGGTGCGTTACCTTTTCTAAGGCTTCTTCATTGCCCTCCACCATCTTCCGGAGCTTTATCAGCTGCCACAGTTCCTGGGCAGGCCGGTTGGTCCCTTGGCTGCCCTCCAGCAGCATGGAGGTGGAAGGCATTTCATGCAGCATGGTCAGCTGGCTCTCTATCCTCTCGATACGGTTCACCACGTGGTCGAAGACATTGCTCAGCCTCTTCAGGGGCTGGACGGTGGGCTGACCATCTCCTTCCCGGGGCATTAACATGTTCGGTGAGGTCTGGAGGAAGTCCTCATCCCCTGAGAGGACCTTCTTGAGCTCAGCCATGTTGATGTGCTCCAGGATGCCATGGAGCACCAGGTGCAGGGCCTTGAAGTTCACCACACCATACTGCGGGATGGCAATGTTGACCAGCTCAGAGAACGAGAGCGCGAAGATCATATTGCCAGGGAGGTCAGTCGAGCTGGGGTTTGGGGCATCCATGGGGACGAGTGGTGGCCTTCAGTGGACCACGAGCTGCACAAACAAATGCTCAGAGACCCGGAGAGGCTATAAGTCACGGCAGTCAGGGGGAAAATGGCCTCTGTCCTGGCCAGAGCTCAGATGAGAGTTTTTGGTTGCTAGGATACCAAAGAACCTGGCAGTGGGCGTGCTTCCGAGGGTCTGGAGCGCAGCAGAGGAGGTACTCAGTTAATAGTTGATGAATGTTTGAACAAACGGCTGTTTCTTTTAATTCAAGCCCTTTGATTATGTAAGACCCAATGATCCTTTCCAAGAAGCATGCCGGGAAGGTGACAGAGAGGCAGCTCGCTTCTCAGAAGTCTCTAGAATCAGAACAGGAAAGTTCTTGGAGTTAGGAAAGCCCAGGTTTCAGGAACAGAACTTGAAGAGCTGCTGGTTGTGGGACAGTGGCCAAAGGCCACCCAGGTGTTCATTTCTGGAGCAGGAAGTTGAAAAGTGCGTGACGTAGTGGCTTTCGTCAGTTCTGAATTCTGCATGTCCCTGCCCCCCTCTCCACCCCCCAGAGACATGAGTGACCTCCTGAACTCTGCTGTGCTGCTCCTTGAGCTGGGACTCATCAAGACCCCAATGCTCTAAAGCCTTAAGGACATGGCCATGAGTCAGCTGCCGTAGAACTTGAAGGCTGCCTGGGCTGCAATATATTCAGGCCCTGCTTTTGTCAATTTTCAGGCAAGAAAATGGCAGCCTGCTGGTCCTGGTCTCCTAGGGAAGCCTGCAAGGAAAGCCCTGACTCAACCCCAGGAGCCCCCCTCCCCCAACTCCTGGGCCACCCCAAAATTCTTGGCATATAGTACACACTGTTTATACACAGCACACAGCATGAGCACCGCCCCCCCCAGGGTTTGAGTTGGCTTCCCCACAGAAAAAACAGTGGACGCCTGTCCACTTTAGGTTCATGCACATGACTTTCTCAGCAACTGTGTGACCATGTATAAATTACTTAACCTCTTTGAATCGCAGCTTCCCTGCCTGCTAAATGGGAAATAAAACCTCCCATGTGGAGTTCCCAGGAAGCAGTGTGTGTGTGTGGGGGGGGGGGGGGAGGAGGCAGCCAATCAATGATTCTCTCTCATCACCGATGTTTCTATCTCTCTCTCCATGGGGCATAGAAATGCTCCATTAAAGTGCCAGGCCCGTGTGGACCCAAAGACTTCTTTCCCACACTTAACCCAGTATCCTAGTCTTGCCAGTGATCATGGCCAAGGGAGAAGGAGCTCAGGAGACTCGTCTGAATTTAATGTAGGGACCTTTGCAGGAATGTTGTTTATTACTAACAGGTTCTTGACCTAACGTCAACAAATGCTTCTGCTGAGGCCTTTACTACTTTAGCTGCAAAACCTACTTCTTCGGAATAACAGAAACTGATGCTGGGACTCTCAGTGCTACAATACTCAGTTTGTTCTCTTCAGACACTCTTCATAACTGCTTAATTCCACTGAAGGAATTTATCCACCTTGAGAGGAAAAAAGAGACTCGCTCCTATTGTGATAAATGTATACATTCTCAGTTCTGTCTGGGCCCTACTTAGATACTACTTTTTGTGACAGCTTTATTGAGATTCTAGAGGCTTGGTGCACAGATTCGTGCACTGGTAGGGGCCCTCGGCCTGGCCTGTGCCCTCTCACAATCCAGGACCCCACCAGTGCATGATCAGGGCCAGAGAGGGACCACAGACAGGCTCTAGGGTGTATCTGTCCTGTCTTTCCCAGTCCTCATTGGCCTGACCTGAGCAGCAAGCTAACCTACTGGTTGAAGCTTCTGCCCCCTAGTGGTCAGTGTGTGTCATAGTGACCGGTTGAACAGTCGAATGGTCACTTAGGCTTTTATATATATAGATAATTCACATACCATACAATTCACCCATTTAAAATATATAATTCAGCTCTAGCTGGTTTGTTTCAGTGGCTAAAGCGTCGGCCTGTGGGCTGAAGGGTCCCAGGTTTGATTCCAGTCAAGAGCACATGCCCGGATTGCAGGTTTAATCCTCAGTAGGGGGCGTGCAGGAGGCAACCAATTGATGATTCTCTCTCATCATTGGTGTTTCTATCTCTCTCTCACTCGCCCTTCCTCTCTGAAATCAATAAAAAATGTATATTAAAAAATAAAGTATACAATTCAATAACTTTTATTATATTCACAGAGCCGTGCAATCATCACTACAATCTACTTACAAACATCTTCATCATCCTGAAAAGAAATGCTGCATTCATTAGCAGTCATTTCATTTCCCCAACTGCCAGCCCCTGGCAATCACTGATGTGTTTTCTGTTTCTATGGATTTGTCTGGACATTTCACATGACTGAATATGTGACCTTTTGTAACTGATTTCTTTTATTTAGCACAATGTTTTCAAAGTTCATCCAGGTTGTAGCATGTGTCAGCACTTCATTTCCGTTTACAACTGAACTAGAGGTCTGATGCACAAAATTCGTGCAAGAGTTGCCTTCCTTCCCCTGGCTGCCGGCACCAGCTTCCCTCTGGCACCCGGGATCCGGGCTTCCCTCACCCGGGGTTCGGGCTTCATCTGGAAGGTCACCCAGAAGGATGTCCAGTCTAATTAGCATATTATCCTTTTATTATTATAGATAATATTCTATTGTAGGGATAGACCAGTTTGCATATCCATTCATCCACTGATGGATATTTAGAACAATTCTACCTTTTAACTATTGTGAACAATGCTGCTATGGACAGTAGTATACAAGTTTTTGTTTGAGTACAAGTTTTCAGTTATTTTGTATCTCTACCTAGGAGTGGAATTGCTGCATCATAAGGTAACTAACTCTACTAGTATATTAGCACTTTGTGGAACTGCCAGACTGTTTTCCACAGCAATGCATTATTTTACATTCCCACCCACAGCAAATGAGGGTTCTCATTTCTCCCCATCATCACCAACACTTGTTAGTGTCCGTCTTTTCTATTATAGCCATCCTGGTGGATGTTGGATACCACTTGTTTTGTGGCTGTCAGACTTACAGCCACCTGTCACACACTCACTGTTCCCACTATCAGGAAATGCCTCCTCTTGCCACCACCTCCCTATAGCTGAGGGCAGACAAACTCAGTCCTCAGAACACTCAAAATAAGCATTCAAAATGATTGTTAGAGACTTCCAGATGTTTAAAATTACCAACCCTTCAGTGGATCGTGTTCCCCTGAAAAGACACCTCCAAAAAGACCCAAGCATAGGCTACCTGGGAAACCTCCCAGAGGGATCACCGACTCTTCATGTACACTCTTCTGGCCACAGTTCTCACAGCAGGGATAACACAACTGGAAAAGGTCATCCAAAATCTGTCTCCGGCCCTAGCAGATGTCATCAATGACACAACTTCTGCTCCAACAAACCAGGGGAAATGTAAATTCATGAGCAGATCATGAAACCCTGATTTTCCTCTTGGCTAACCAAGAAGCAAACGTTTCTTGCTACACTGATGTAAATACTTAATAAAGACCACAGATAAAGTAGAACAGTTCGTGATTAGGCTTTTTAAAAAAGCCACCTGCCCAAGCCAGTGTTGCTCAGTGGTTGAGCGTCGACCTATGAACCAGGAGATCATGGTTCAATTCCCAGTCAGGGTACATGCCCGTGTTGTGGGCTCGATCCCCAATGGGGGAGTGCAGGAGGTAGCCAATGAATGATTCTCTCTCATCAGTGCTGTTTCCATATTTCTCTCCCTCTCTCTTCCTCTTTGAAATCAATAAATATATATTTTTCTATTTTAAAAAATATTTATTATTAAAAGTATTGCATATGTCCCCCCTTTTCCCCATTGACCTCTTCTAGCCAGTCCCTGCCCTCAATAAAAATATGTACTTTTTAAAAAGCCACCTGGCTCTCCAGGAAGAGACCAGCTGGACTTGGGTGGGGGTAGTGTTTTCATAGCCTGGGTTCAGCAATTGAGGCCCCTGCCTTCAGGATCTGGTGCCAGTTCTATTTCTGATAACGGCCCATGTTACTGGTAGCCAATGTACTCTGTCCAGAGTCTTAGTGCAACAGCTGTCTTGTGAGAGGACTCAACAACTCACCTGCAAGACAGCAGAGGGTCTAATCGCAGCCCAGCTATGACAACATTCTCTGAACACCCTCCTGACCAGCAACACCTGGTATTGACAAAGCTCTGGATATGGTACATAGTGTTCTGAGGACTGCCTTCATCCACCCTTAGCTATGGGGTGGGGGGGGGGGCAAGGGGAGGCAGCTCCTGAGAGCAGGAACTGGCTAAGCATCAGAGGCTCTGCAGTTGGCTTAAGAGGGCCTTGGTACACTCCAGTGGACATAAACAATTTCACAGAACACCAGAACCAACAGGGCTGCTCTGCTCCCATGAAAGGCCAAGATAAGATCAGTCATAATTAGGTCTGAACTCAGACAAAAATAAGAATACTGTCCAAACCACAAACGTGACCAGATAGCCCACTATCCTGACTAATACAAGTGACCACTGCTTCTTGACCAACTAAAACTTTATCTGTGTCATTCCTTCTGCCTTCTAGATAAGATTGATTACAATATCCAATCACGGAATTAGCCCTGGTTCCTGACAGTACCCAATCCAGAACACCCCACCCCCACCCCCAGTCACCTAACATGGGCCAAAATCCCATCCTTAAAGTCTTTTTAACGTAACTCTCTTATGAGATGTCCCTGGATTCCCCACTGTGTCCTAAGAGTTGAAAATTCAAGGGTTGCCTTGACATCTTTGAGCCTCACAGGGCCCTTGAGTTCCCCTGTTCCTTTTGGATATGCCCCCCCAACCCCACCCAGCAGGAAAGGCTGCCCCCCCAGCTAGTTCCCCCACCAGCCAGACCAGCTGCACTCCACCCCAGTCGCAATCTGAGGGGCTTCAGTTCCCTGCCAGCTTGTGAAACTATTCAAACAAGCCAATCACCTCCTCCTGGAGGAACCAGGGGGCGCTCCACTCCCTTACTACAGAGCCTGCAGCCCACAGCCCCAGCTGATTCACTCTGTTCCTGATGACACCGGAGTGGCCCTGCCTGGCCTGTGCTGTCCTCTCCCTGCTCTGTGAGTATATGTGGCTAATAACTGCTGTTGATCTCACCTGTCTAGAGCAGGAGTCTCTCACACTCCAGCAGAGTGAAAGGGACCTATCAGAACACCCTTGTGGCAACAAGTCAGTAAACCTTTGTTCAACTACAGTAGGTTCCTGATGGTCTTGGTTGGAAAGGCTGGCCCTGCAAACTTGCAAAAAAACCTTGCAGTGATCAGAGCTTTTTGGATTTTGGAACTTCAGACAAAGGATTGTGGAGCTGTATTATTATGGAATCATAAGCAAG